CGCTACGGCAGAAACTAGCGATTGCGAGATCGCCCATTACGCTCGAAAGTAACTACGGCAAGTTGAGAGAGATGAACTGAGACGGTACTGAACAATAGATGGCAGTATTAAAATTATCTATGTGAACAAACCTCATCACTTGAGAAGGTAGGTGATGCGGACGTCGTGGAAGACATTTTGTCCCGTAACGCTCGCCGTACTGTTGGGGGGGAGATGCGGTGGGGGGGAGATGTTCATGTTGCTGCAGTCTGCAGTCTGAACGCTAGATGTCGCTAAAAATTACACACTGTAGCTTTAATAATTTCAATATTAATAAATGAGCCTTGACCTAAATCCTATCGAGCATCTTTGGAAGAAGGAAACATGCTTAATGGAAAGGAATGGGTCAAACCACCTACTGAGAGTCTAATTTAAAAGTTAAAGGAATCACTTGATTGCAGTGATTAGTTCAATGGTTTTGCATCAAAATATTAAGGGTAACATCCTTTTTGTCCAGACTGTTTCATTGGTTTACTTTTTTGAAATTATTCGGCCTCATGAGACAACATTTTTTTATTTTTGTTGTAAATTTCCCCTACTTTTTCTCCTACCCTAGGCTTTTACAAACATCCAACATTAAATCCAACACATGCTCTTAACTTCAATAAGTTATAGTAAAGCCTACCTGTGCACATTCCCAGGAAAAGTAAATCTGCATAATTACTGAAAAAAACTTAATTGAATTATATTAATCTGAGTGCTCCCCACCATGAGTTAGAGCTGAAGAAGCCTCTTAGATGAGAGGAGAACATTTTCTAAAAAACTTCACTAGATTGAATTGTTTAATGCTTGTGCATGACCTGGATGACTGAGAATGTCCACTGGATGTTGATCAGTCAAGCTTCACTTTAAATATTTTAGCAGCCCCTCTGGAAAGGGATGGATCAATGTCATGCACACAAACGAGCAACAAAGGACATAAATACATTTTAGGATAAGTTTAAATTAAATGACCTGAAGTTTATTCCTTTTCAGGAGCTGTGGAATCAGTAGAATGTACAAATTGTGTATTTTGGTGTAGACTTTGACCAAAACATTGATAAATAAATAGTTTTCTTAAAAAAATATCTGTGATGTGGACATCCAGGTTACATGGTTTTATGTAAAACATAGAGATAGTAGGAACTGATTCTTGTTATGCCTTTCAGGTAATAGTTTAGCTTTAAATAATGTGTATTAAGCTTTATTTACGTTAACCTTAGCATATTTTTGTAACTAGATGTTACGTGCCTTCCTAGCCACTGTACCTGTATAAACCAGGCATGTCTAAAGTCAGTCCTCATGGACCACTGTCCTGCAGGTTTAAGAGGTTTCCCTGCTTCAGCACAGCCAATTTCCATTGATAGCTGAAAAAAAGGCTTTTGCTGAACCCCAATTATCATAATCAGCTTTGTAGACGCATAAAAACCTAAAAAAACCTGCAGGACAGCAGCCCTCAAGGACAGACTACAGACATGCCTGGTATAAGCAGTCAGCTAAGCACTGAACTTTATTAGCACAGTAAATGGTACTTCATGTGTAGGTAATTCCATTTTTTTTTTTTTTTTTTATTGGTGATTCTGTTTTAGTTTAACACTCGTGACATAATTTAATCTTATTTGGTTTCAATGTGAAGACGGAACAAATCTTTCATGTTCATGAATGATGGAGAGTTTAGCTAACTTTCCAGTTGAAGTCGCTATACTGTACCTCAGTGAGGAAAGTACAGTTCTAAACAGGAAGATACAAAGCAAATTAGATAGGAGCTTTCTTTTTAGAACAGCCAAAACTTTGGAATCCACCTTCAATGATGAGCCGTCTTCTTGACATACTTGTGCATGACAAAAGCACAGACTTTTCTAAATGGCTATGCAGGCTACAGTAGAGTTTGTGTTTGTCAGGTAAGAAACGCAGAGTCTGACCTCCATGTTTGAATCATGTGATGTGAAGCTCCATTCTTTCGATAATATAATATATTTTCAGAAAGGCATTCATGGTTTCTCTTATCATTCACCATGGCTTTAGTAAATCTATCTAACAAAAAGGTCATTACCAAGCGTATGAAAAATGTTAAAAAGATTTAAGGGGTAAAAAAAAGGAGTAAAAGATATGAATATGTGAATAGAAGAAGCACAAGCATTAGAAGGAAAAAGCAGAAAGAGAAGAGAACAGAAAAAAATAAAGCTGAAGGAGGAACTTTAAAAAGAGTCAGGGAAAAAAAGGGTTGGAAGAACGTTGATGACTAGTAGGCTATAAAACCTGCTCCTGGAGTGCTTTCCATCTGGAAGTGTTTATGGGCACTGGGTCAAGAACCGAAGGTAACCTTAGAAAACCTGGCCTTTCTCCAGGATTCTGATGCACAACAACACTTGCAAACAATACAACAAACACTTTTCTCACTTGCTTCAATCATTTTACCTAACTTTACTTCAGGTCAGACATGCCAAAATCTTAACCCAACCTTACAGCCTTAAACATATTGTGGTTCTCCACTCTAGAACAAGCACTTAGTAAGGTTCTTCATGTTCTTTACAAAAAAACAACACAGTTCAGGGAACATAGACTGTAACAGCCAAAGCCATGGGATGATTGATAAAACATTTTTTTAAGAGTTAAAAAAGGACATTGGCTTGTAGCTACGTTCACCTTCAGACATTGTTTTAAAGGCTTGTCCTCTACACTTATGGTGTCCTACCATGGTCCTAAAGATCTACTGTCCTGCAGGTTTTAGATGAATCCCTGCTCCAACACAGCTGACTCAAATGAACGGCTTGTTACAAAGCCTTTGCCAATCCTGATGGCATACTAAAGCGATAATACAGTCTAAGCCAGGAGTTCTTAACCCTGGTCCTCAGGGCCCACTATCCTTCATGTTTAAGATGAGTCTCTCCTTAAAAAGTACTGGACTCAAAAAATGCATCCTAAAATGCATCTTAAAAA